GCAAGAAGCCTAACTGAGAGATAACTATGCTCTGTTAACTATACACGTCCATAACTATAATGAGTACTTCTGAGAGATGGGGTTCATAGAAAGCTGGGAAATTCTGGGCCATCCGTTCATGAAAGGAAAGGGGATGATTAGGGAGCATTAAACCTGGAGAAAGCTCCCCAGATCTCTGACATCCTACTTGACGTCATTAGTTCTACTCTTCCCTCTCGACTTCCTACAAAACATTAGGATTCTACAATGTACTGTTACAATGCACATTCTTAGTGAGTGAGCTTCCAGTATCCTGAGGCACACAAATGCTAACAACTTTCCACTATCCTCTGGCATCAGCCCCCACACCCTGCCCCCATCTCAATGGCCCCACCTCCCTAAAAAATTGGAGTGTTATAGCTTCATTGAATTGTTTAAATGGGGCCTGCTAAGCTCCTTTCCCAGGCCCAATAGATTGCTATTGAACTGAAGCTGCAAAGTACAAGTTCTTGCATATCACCTCTGCATATTTGACAGCTCAGCTGAAATGCTAGATCCATAGTTTGCTAGATTACGAGAGACAGTAAGAGACACACACATTGCTGATGCAGTGAGGCATTCAAAGATGCCCCGAGTAAAGGGCAGCATCTTCTTGAAATGCTGAAGGATTTTGCACTTCTTCAATTTTAGAGAACCATAGGCACCTTGTGAGGAAATGAGACTACAGCAAATGTTAGAACAATGAAAGTGAGGATATATTTGCATGTGTAAAATGTCTATACATTAATGAACACTTGTGCCATCGACGTGCTTTTAAAGGGTTTTCTTCTTCCTTTGCTTAGCATAATATCTGGCTGCAGACTCAACATCTCCAGATGGGGTGGAGAGAGACTGGAGACTGTGAAGACTTTGGCAGGCATTTTCTATGGGCACAGAATAGAATAGAATAGCCTTTATTGTCACATATACTCAATGAGTATAGTGTAAAGTTTATACATTTGCCAATGACAGCACCGATTCGGATTCAAAAGTACCTAGGCACAGATTCTTTTGTTACAAAATTATAGACAATAAAATGTCCAGCATCACAGAAAAGCAGACCATGCTGGCACTTAGCTTCCAGTCTGCACTATGCCCTGACTCCACGTCAGGTGGTGGCTGCAAGGTCGCCATGCCACACCAAGAGGCAGCTGTGCCAGGCTAGGAGGTCGCCACACCACATCGTGAGGCCGCTATGGGAGGAGGTCCCTGCGCGAGGCCTAGAGGTTGCTACTCCAACACTGGGAGGCCAGTGCGGAAAGCCGCTATGCCATGCCAGGAGGCTGCTGCTGGAGGCTGGGAGGCTGCCATGCCACGCCAGGAGGCCACTAGGTCAGGTCGGCAGGTCGCCACTACACGCCGGGAGGCTGCTGTGCTAGACCAGGAGTCATTGCCGGAGGCCGGGGATCGTCGCTCGCCAGAGGCCGGGGATCGTCGCTCCTCGCCAGAGGCCAGGAGTCGAAGTGAAAATAAAAGAAGCACTAGGTGGAAGAAAAAGTGAAGAGAAAGAAGAAAAGAGGAAGAAGAGTGGGCAGAGCGGGTGAGGTCCGGCTGGAGTGTCCTACTCTACCGCCATCCTATGGGACCTCAGGCTGTTGAGAATCTCTTGCACAGAGGCAAGTGCAACCTCCTTGGCTTGAACTGCTGGATGCACTGGAGCCATTGGCAGGGAGAAGGTGGAGGGGCAGGGTATCTCTGGAGTGTCCTGAGATGAACTACCCAAGTGCCTGCATGTCCTTCCTCTTCACTGTGAATGTCTGCTGGCATCAACATGTCTGCTTAAGAAAGGGTACTTGAAAAGAGGCCGAGGTCCCTCATTCCTTTCTGACCTATCCCTAATATAGGCTGGAACCTCCTAAGTGCAAATAGTTTGGATGGAGCAGATTTTGTCAGGTGTGTCCAGGAAAGATTTCTGACTCAGTAAGTAGATAGGTCAATTACAGGGGAGGCCATATTGGATTTGGTGCTTGGCAATGAACCAGGTCAGGTGTCAGATCTCTTGGTGGGAGAGCATTTCGGTGATAGTGACCACAACTCCCTGACCTTTACTATAGGAGAGGGATAGGAGCAGACGGTATGGGAAAGTATTTAATTGGGGGAGGGGGAATTAAAATGCTATTAGGCAGGAACTGCAGAGCACCAACTGGGATCAGATGTTCTCAGGGAAATGCACGACTGAAATGTGGAGGTTGTTTAGGGAGCAGTTGCTACAAGTACACTTTATGTTTGTCCCACTGAGGCAAGGAAAGGATGGTAAGGTGAAGGAACCTTGGATTACATGTGGAACACGTAGTCAAGAGGAAGAAGGAAACTTACTTAAGGTTGAGGAAGCAAGGATCAGACAGTGCTCTAGAGGTCTACAAGGTAGCCAGGAAGGAACTGAAGAATGGACTTAGGAGAGCTAGAAGGGGATACGAAAAAACCTTGGCGGGTAGCAGTAAGGAAAATCCCAAGGCGTTCTATACTTATGTGAGGAACAAAAGGATGGCCAGAGTGAGGGTAGGGCCGATCAGGGATAGTGGTGGGAATTTGTGCGCGGAGTCAGAGGAGAAAGGGGAGGTCCTTAATGCATACTTTGCTTCAGTATTAACCAGTGAGACGGACCTTGACGTTTATGGTGACAGCGTGAAACAGGCTGATATCCTCAAACAGATTGATGTTAGGAAGGAAGATGCACTAGAAATTTTGAAAAACATGAGGATAGATAAGTCCGCTGGGCCAGACGGGATATACCCAAGGTTACTACAGCAAGTGAGGGAAGAGATTGCTGTCCCTTTGGCAATGATCTTTGTGTCCTCACTGTCCACTGGAGTAGTACCAGAAGATTGGAGGGTGGCAAATGTTCAAGGGAATAGGGATAATCCTGGAAATTACAGACCGGTCAGTCTTACTTCTGTGGTGGGCAAATTATTGGAGAGGATTCTGAGAGATAGTATTTATGATTATTTGGAAAAGCACGGTTTGATTAGAAATAGTCGGCATGGCTTTGAGAGGGGCAGGTCATGCCTCATAAGCCTTGTTGAATTCTTTGAGGATGTGACAAAACACATCAATGAAGGTAGAGCAGTGGATATGGTGGATTTTTGCAAGGCATTTGATAAGGTTCCACATGGTAGGCTCATTCAGAAAATAAGGAGGCATGGGATTCAGGGAAATTTGGTTGTCTGGATACAGAATTGGCTGTCCAATAGAAGACAGAGGATGGTAGTTGATGGAAAGTATTCAGCCTGGAGCTCGGTGACCAGTGGTGTTCTGCAGGAATCTGTTCTGGGACCTCTGCTCTTTATAAATGAACAGGATGAGGAAGTGGAAGGGTGGGTTAGTACGTTTGCTGATGACACTAAGGTTGGTGGAGTTGTGGATAGTGTGGAGGGCTGTTGTAGGTTGCAATGGGGACATTGACAGAATGCAGAGCTGGGCAAAGAAGTGGCAGCTGGAATTCAACCCAGAAAAGTGTGAAGTGACTCATTTTGGAAGGTTGAATTTGAATGCAGAATACAGGGTTAATGGCAGGATTCTCGGCAGTGTGGAGGAACAGAGGGATCTTGGGGTCCATGTCCGTAGATCCCTCGAAGTTGCTACCCAAATTGATAGGGTTGTAAAGAAGGCGTATGGTGTGTTGGCTTTCATTGGCAGGGGAATTGAGTTTAAGAGCTGTGAGGTTATGCTGCAGCTCTGTAAAACTCTGGATATACCACACTTGGAATATTGTGTTCATTACTGGTCACCTCAATATAGGAAAGATGTGGAAGCTTTTGAGAGGGTGCAGAGAAGAGTTACCAGGATGCTGCCTGGATTGGAGGGCAGGTCTTATGAAGAAAAGTTGAGGGAGCTGGGGCTTTTTTCATTGGAGCGAAGAAGGATGAGAGGTGACTTGATAGAGGTCTACAAGATGATGAGAGGCATAGATAGAGTGGATAGTCTAAGACTTTTTCCCAGAGCGGAAATGACTATTATGAGGGGGCATAATTTTAAAGGTGTTTGGAGGAAGGTATATGGGAGATGTCAGAGGTAGGTTCTTTACACAGAGTGGTGGGCGTGTGGAATGGGCTGCCGGCAGTGGTAGTGGAGTCAGACACTTTTGAGACTTTTAAGCGACTCTTGGATAGGCACATGGAGGATAGTAGAACGTAGGGCAGATTGATCTTAGTAGGATAATAGGTCGGCATAACATCATGGGCCGAAGGGCCTGTACTGTGCTGTACTGTTCTATGTTCTATCCACGGATGCTGAGCATGCATGATTAGAGCAAGAGAATACAGGTCCAAGTGTATATTCAGCAGCCACTGGGTATTCTGCTGGACCTGGGTATCTGAGGCCTGGGCCAACCTTTCAATGGAGGCAGCAAAGTGCTTGTATGCCAGAGTTACTGCAACAGACAGAAGATGGACAGACATCTCCACCTTTCAGTCCAATCTAACAAGGACTACTGGCGTCACTATCTGATGTTCCCTAGTCTGTCTTCGCAGATGGGCAAATGATTGAGTATAGAGGCATATCATATCAATGGTGCTGAGCAGGTGCCTGATCTCCACTTGTCTGAAAACTAGAGACCTTAGATGTTTCCTTATTCACTGGCTGTGGATGTCTGCTACCGGATTATGTCCTTGAGACTATCTAGCTTGATACCTACTGAAGTTACCATCTTCGTACTAGTGGAAGGTGCAATTAAAAGCTTTGTTGGCACACCCTAACAGGTGCTGGTGTTGTACATCCACTGTGGCCTCTTCTGTTTTGCAGTCTGTTGACCACTCATAGTTAAGGAACAGAAGACAAAGAATTAGTTGGTGGAGTAGCACAAACCGTGTGTACAGAAATGTGACAGAATGGGTTCACATTTGAAAACAGCAGACATCAATATTCCTCACTGGATTCTGCCATGTGATCTCCCTATTGAGCAGGACCAGTCTTAATCCTCACCCTTCAGCTGGACTGTACCTTCTTCAAAGGGATGAGGATGCAAAGGTAAAGAACCCTCCTGCCATTCCATGACTTCTCTTGTTTATTGTGCACCAGCCCGTCCTGCAACGAGAGAAAGAGAAGGATAAGCCTGATAGGAATGTATGTATGAGTGCTTGATGAGTATGCAGAGCCCTGCCAGGTGGTGAGCCCTCTCTAGTAAGAAAGCAGAAGTGCAGTTTGAAGAGTTGTTGCATAAGGTAAGAGAGAGTCCTTCAGTGCACGTCATGCATGTGAAGGTAGGTCAGTATGTGTATGTGACATGCTAAAAAACAGCAGTATCATACTGAGTGATAGCCACACAAGTATGAGATTGCAGTGAGAAGATGGTACCTCTTAACCTTGAGGAGCACAGGAGATCATTCATCCTCCTACTGCTTCTTAGATTCCTATTTGTAGTGCTGGCCTCATGTATGATCTCGACACAGGCCTTCTGGGTTTGATAAGAGAGCTGCTTTCATCCATCAGAGGGAAAGAGGACCTCCTTTCTGGCTTAGATGTTCATTAAGGGATCTGGAAAGTGGGAAGCCACCTTTTGACACTTTTCAAATATCTTTAGTTAGCAGGGAGAGTAATGACCACAGGCTGTTTTGGAGCTCCTGATTCCAGTGAGTGAAGGGGCTGTCTGGATGGCCTTTAAACACAGCACCAGGACATTCAGTCATAGAAGGTGTTGATGGGGGCCAGAACCTCTGCCCACAAACTACACGTGAATGGCTGCTTATGTCACCATCAAACTCACTTGCACACAAAATAGGCTGTAAAGCAGATGATTGCTCTAGAAAACTCATTGAGGGTTATGGCAGATGTGATGCCATCTAAGATGCCAGTCACCGTACATTAACTCTAAAACGGAAAATCCAGGACAAAGGGCATTGCATGCTGAATAGATGAGTATTATATGCTGGATCTATGGGCATGTGTTGCATCCAGAAAACATTAGCATTGCATACTGAGTCATTAAGTGTTGCATATTAAAATCGAGGAGTATCGAACAATTTAACGGTACAGCACAGGAAAGGTCCTTTGGCCCACCATGTCTGTGTTGAACATGATTTCACACAATATTGATCACCACTGCATGATGAATCAATGAGCACTGCATGCTGAATCAATGGGCACTGCATGCTGAATCAATGGGAAGGAAGCCTGCTAACAAACAAGGTGAGTTGGAGGGAGCCTGCTAAAACAGACCGAGTTGGAGGAAAGCTCGAAAAGAACAAGCTGCCTGCTAACTTCTCAGAGTTCTGAAAAGAAAACAGTCTACATCAGTTCAGGATAAAACCTATTTGTTCTTGTGAAAAAGTGAGTGATAGAGCATTTCAATATTGTCTTTCCTGAGCAAGTTTTGACTGCAAGATTTCACAGACAGCCATGCAACGTTTAGTGATTTGAACATGTGGTAGAACAACAAGGAATATCTTATGCTTTATTTCACTGCCTTCAAGAATAACTCATTGGACAAGCTTTCTTTAAAAAGCCAATCCCTACAGATAAATCCCTACAGATAAAGAGAGTCAGTGTGCTTTTGTGTATGTTTTGGAAATATTTTGAGAGATAATCATTTATACTTCTATATTACTGACTGTGCATCTTTGAAAATGTTTTGTTTTGATAATAAATCTGAACATATAATAAATCCAGAATTGCATTTATTAAGAAACCTGGTTGAATTATCTTTTTCCTTAAAACCTCATATAGATAAAGTAGGTTTGGTAGCTGGAAAAAGTATTTCATTTTATGTTGCATGGAATAAAGAGACTAGAGTGATGGTACTCTCCTCCAATTTTGGTTATAACATTGTGGAGAGAGAAACAGAGTTAACTCTTCAGTTCGATGACCTTTCATCAGAATTGATGAACGGTAGATTAGTTCAAAAACTTACTTGTTTGACCAAGTATTTGGTCCCCTGGCCTAATATGTCTTACATGGCTTGGTATTAAATTTTACTTGATAACACTTCTGTATAGTACCTTGGGATGTTTCACTACATTAAATGCACTATGTAAATGCAAGCTGCTGATGTATGTACACGATTGTTACATAGGCATGCTAGCACATACATGTACTGTACAAACTGCTGCTCATGATGAAGACTGGTGTCACCAGTGTCTAACTATAGGAAACTGCAGGGCGTGTTAGTCTAAACTGGCAAAGAAAGATTACTTCCTGGTCTAACTTGTACAGTCTCTTGTAGCTAGCAAGACATTGGTTATTAGGAGCAAATTACTGCTGGTACTGAAAACAAAAAATGTTCGAGATCAGACCAGGTCAGGCAGCATCCATGGAGGGAAAGCAAGCTAGCGATTCAAGTCTAGATGACACTTCATTAGGCCTGATGTGAAGTGTGGAGGGGGCAACATTTATACAATAGTTGGGGGTTAAAGGAGGGTGGAGTGCTGGCGGAGAACCTACTGCCCTTGGCAAAAAACTCAGCTTCATGCCCTTATGAATTTTGGACTCATCATGACATTGAACTGTTTTACCGCTGCCTCCATCTCCACACTCACTTCTTCGAGCAGGAATCACCCCAACTGTTCCACCAATCCCTTCACCTGCCTCCAGTATTCAGCCTCCACTTGGACCCCTTCCTCTAGCCTCTTACCTGCCCTCGACCTTTACACTGAAAACTGCCGGCATGCCATCAGCCATCTCAATTTCTCTGCTCCTCTCATCCACTATAACCTGTCCCCTACTGAAACTGCCTCACTTCACTCTCTCATGTCCCATCCTAACTTTGTTATCAAACCCACCAACAAAGATGATGCTGTTGCAGTATGGCGCACTGATCATTACCTTGCAGAGGCTCAACGCCAGCTCTTGGATATTTCTTCCTAACTTGCCCAACCATAACCCCACATCTGACTGTCAAGCCATTGTTGCCAGGACTGTCACTGAGCCCATTATCTCCGGAGATCTCCCAGCTGCCTCCAACGTTACAGTCTCCCTATCCCAGACAGCCTGCTTCTAGCGCCTACCCAAAATCCACAAACCAGAGTACCCTGGTAGGCCCATCATATCAGCCTGTTCCTGCCCCACTGAGCTCCTTTCCTCCTACCTTGACTCCATGCTCTCTCCACTTTTCCAGACCCTGCCCACCTACATCCACAATTCTTCTGATGCCCTCTGCCATATTGACAATTTCCCATTCCCTGACCCTAACTGCCTCTTGTTTCCCCATTGAACAATTTCTCCTTTCATTTACCTCACTTCTGCCAAGCCAAAGCAGTGGCTGAGTGCGCACATGGGTCCCAGTTACGCCTGACTCTTTATTGAGTATGTGGAAAAATCTTTGTTCCAGTCCTACATTGGCCCCCTCCCACAACTCTTTTCTTGGTACATCGATGACTGTTTCTGTGCCACTTCATGGTCCCGCTTCATGAAAAATTTGTTCATCTTGCCTCCAATTTCCACCCCTTTATAACTTTCATATCGTCCACTTCTGACACTTCTCTTCCATTGCTTGACCCCTCCATCTTCATTTCAGGGAATAAACTGTCCACGGCCATCCACTACAAAGCCAGTGACTCCCATAGCTACCTTCACTACAGCTCTTCACACCCCACTTCCTGCAAGGATTCCATCTCATTCTCCCAGTCCCTTCATCTACTTCGTATCTGTTCGGATGATGCCACCTTCTAAAACTGTTCTGCTGACATTGCTCCCTTCTTCCATAACCGTGGTTTCCCACCCACTGTGATTGATGGCCCTCAACCACATCCAACCTCTCACTCATACGTCCATCCTTGCCCCTTCCTGTCACTCACAACAGCATGATCAAGATTCCCTTGTCGTTGCTTTTCATCCCACCAGCCTCCACAATCAAAGGATCCTGCACCACCATTTCATACAACTCCAGCAGAATACCATCACTAAACACATCTCCCCCTCACTCCCCTTGTCTGTATTTCATAGGGATTGTTCCCTCCAGCACACTTTAGTCCATTCCTCAACCAACCCTTTCCCACAGCACCTTCTCATGTAACCACAGAAGGTGCAACACCTGCCCCTTCACCTTCTGCTTGCTCACCATACAAAAACCTAAACAGCTTTTCCGGGTGAAGCAGCATTCTCTGTCACCATGTCCACTCTTCCCTCCCCCCATTCCAGTGGGATTGTTTTCTTTCCAGTCTGGTAGTTAGATACACCATTGTTCTGCCATTCTCACTTTCCAATCACTTAATCTGAGCTATCAAAATCCTTACTTCCCCAGCCCTCCCACACATCCCCCACTGCATAAATGTTGCCCCCTCCACAGTTCGCGTCAGCTCTGATGAAGAGTCATCCAGACTCGAAACGTTAGCTTGCTTTCTGTCCTTGGATGATGCCTGACCTGCTGTGATGTCCAGCATTTTTTGCTTTCAAGACATTGTTTATTGTTGTCATTGGCAAATAGTTACCAGGTACATTGATATGATAGACATTGGAAGACTAGATTGTGGCCTCACTCTTTTGAGGTCATAAGCTGTTATGCCCACAATCCATATAACATCATCGTAGTGGGTGGTGCTTTGGATATACTTCATTATTGACACTTTCAGACCCAAACACACAGTAACCAAGAGGAGTTCAAGACTCAAATGTCGTGACAAGCAACAAATTTGGAAAATGTTCTTCTATTCCTCGAGTACATCTTTACCCTAGGAATAGTTATTGAACAGGTCGGCAAAGAACTTTGAAATAGTGACATCAGATCACAACGAACTTGAATCTGAGTCTGTCTGGTTCCAGAAATTCTCCTTTCTTAACATCCCTTGTATATAGTATAACGTTGGTTATGTTGACTTACAGGAATATGGATCTTATGTTATGACAAAAAAAAACTGGCTGATTGTGCTACCCAGCCTGCTTTTAGCTCTAAGCTTTTAAAGAAGCAGTTTCCAGATTTCTAAGTAATGCAGAATTCTTCAATAGTGATACAAACTGTTTGAAAGCAAGGCATTTCAACAATCTCTTACACAGACTATCAGTTCACTGCATTTGTGCTCCAGAATTTAGCTATCCACTCTGTATTCTGTCAAATGCAGCCAAACATGCGAGTAGTGAGAAACTAGAAACATTTTGAGAAAGAAATGGAAACATTCAAGTGTGGCAGCAAAAATCTTTTAGGAGACCTGGAGAGGTCAAAGCAGGAAAGGTGAGCATGGGTAATCAACTGCAGCCTTTCATCACAATCTTCTTCTCTTTAGCTTATTAATTATACACCCAAACTCTAGAGCAGCTGCCTCCTAGAATTGTGTAGCAGCATATGTGCAAATCCTCACCGGTGCAGGACTTCTGGAAGTGTTGGTTTTCCTGCTGACTGGCAAAGGAGGCCACACCACTAGATACAGCCAGCCTGGATGAAGGCAGAAGACTGGGTCAGAATGACGTCCCAGATTACAAGAAATGCACAGCAATGCAGGGAGAAAGTGAATCATATAAAAACAGAGTGCTGGAGAAACTCAACAGGTCTGGCAGCATCAATGGGGAGAGAAACAGAGTTAATGTTTTGCATCCCAGGAATCTTCTTCAGAACTGAAAGAGACCTGAAAATAAAGAAAAAGGGAGAGGATGGAGTGAATAGAATGGGTGATGAGAGTACCCCCACCAAAGACAAAAGGAGTGCTATTGCCAGTAAAGAAGGGATTTCAATGGGATATGGGGAATAATCATAACTATGGATGGTTGAAAATAGGGTGTCTTTGCTGAGAGGAAATCCATTCCAACAAATTGAGATGTTTGGAGTGGGGAGGCAAGGAAAGTGGTGGAACAAAAACAGAGGACAGTGTTCATGAGTTGTTCAACTCAACATTGTATTCCGAAGACTGTAAAGTGTTTAGGTAGTAAATGTGCAACAATCCCTCCAGTTTGCGTTGGGCTTCGTGGAACTCTGCAACAGACCCAGGATTGACATGTTAGCATCTTAAAAAAGAGTGTGTATTGAAATAGCAAGAAACTGGAAGGTCAGAGTCATGCTTTTACACAGAGTGGAAGTGTCTTGCAAAGCATTCGTGTTCCAACACTTTCCTTGCCTCCCCACTCCAAACATCTCAATTTGTTGGAATGGATTTCCTGTCAGCAAAGACAACCTATTTTCAACCATCCATAGCTATGATTATTCCCCATATCCCATTGAAATCCCTTCTTTACTAGCAATAGCACTCCTTTTGTCATTCATCTTGTCAATCTAGAGGAGGCTGTATGGTGAGCAACAAGTAGATGCAGGAATCACAAAAAAGCTAGCTTAGAAGTTTCGTAGGTAATAGGGAAGGAAAATGAAATGTCAACCTTTATTTCAAAAGGAATGGACTATAAAAATAGGAAAGTCTTGCTAAAACTATACACATATTGCAAAAGATTTTGATCCCCTTGTCTAAGGAGGAACGTACTAGCATTGGAGGCAGTCCAGAGAAGGTTCACTGAATTGATCTCAAGTTTCTTAGCTAATGTTATGGACTAGACTAGACCCCTCAAAATATTTTAAGAAGTGGCCTAGACCACCATTTTAAAGGCAAATGTAACATGCCGTATTCTAGATGCAATTCAATTGGTCGATCTACTCGATGCTAAGCAAAACAATTTACTTAAACACTGTTGTTAAAATACAACCAAGGAAAGAGGAATTCAGAATAACTTAGCTCTACTGGAAAACTTAACAGAATAATAGATACAGTGACTACTACTAATTTACTGTTCCAATAAAAGAAACATCTCATAAACACACCCCTTGGCAAAAAGGCAAATTCCAAAACCAGATTCTCACATGCAGTTCCCCAATTCTGCAGGAAAGAACATCAAAAGACAATTCTGAGAGAGAGAACTCTAGCTTTTAGCTGGAACAAAGAGAGGGGTGGCAGCTTTTCACAATCCCAGCAGTTTCTGCACTGTTGAGACTCTAACAGCATCTGCTTAAAGATAAAAATCTAAAAACTTGAAATCCTGGTCTGAGAGAGCTGGCCATGCCCATCCAGGCTGCATCTATTGTTCTAAGTTAAAATAAAAACACAAGGCCTCACAAGCTGTTGACTTTACTGGCCTTTTCAAGTAGACAGCTTTGTACTTCTGTCTTAAAAGCTCTCTTAAAACAAAATCAGGACAAAATAACCTTTTAAAGCGACAGCATCATCACACTAGTTAATATTCAACTAAATTATAAAGGGAAAACAAACACACTCATCACATACTGGCTGTTGCTCTACAAATGAATGCTGCACGTGGTCTGGGAAAAGATGAAATACTGAGTGAGGGTGAGGTTATTGTTCTGCTGGGATTTCATGTGCACAAGAAGATCTGTGCAAGTTCTGCCCTCAGGCCTTCCTCCCATTCAGAAATGAAAAAGGGTCCTGACCCGAAACGTCAGCTTTCCTGCTCCTCTGATGTTGCCTGGCCTGCTGTGGTCCTCCAGCTCTACAATGTTCCACCAGACCATTGAGTGTCCTTTTGTGTGTTATTTTTGAAGAAATGGAACTTAAGTAAAAAAGAAACATCCTGGATTCTAGCTGAATAGGAAATGCTTAAAAGAGGGTAGTTAATCCTTGCTGGTTCAGCATTAATTGTCATTAGTCCAGTATTCCTGCTTCCACTCATTTTCTAATGTATCAGCTATTTTACGGTCACAGTGAATGAGTAATTCTGACACATTGTGACAGTTGAATTTCTTCTTGCACTTACGACCAGTACAGCAGCATAGTTCCATATATTCCTGGCACATCACAGCATACAGGTGATTGGCATAATTAGAAGATGCTGTTGTAAGTGTATATACACACACGCGCGTACACACAAAAACACACAGTATGCCAAAGCTTCAGTTATTAACTGTGGACAACTATCCAAAACTTGTCTCTTACAAAACCTAGAAATGCTAAGTTCCACAGAGATGAAATGAAGCACTTTGTGAAACTGCCCAAAGCTGTCAGCTGAATTCATCGCCTTTTGGGCTCCTACCTGATCTGTTTACCCTCTCGCATGTCGTAAAGAGAAAAGAAGATGTCTGTATCTTCTCCAACAGTGTGGTAGGTAAAGCTTTTCATACTTAGCAAGAGATGGTGGGGTATGGGGATGCGGCATGTATCACCATGTCGATGCCTCATAGTATCCGTCTATTTCAAAGAGAAAGAAAATGTTACATTTTTCAGAAATACAACAGAATGAAATGAAACATCTCAAAAAGCTGCAAATGATTTTGGACATACATTTGAAAATAATATTTTTTCATGGCTCTGAGGAGATTGCAGGGCACTGGGAATGACTGCATAGTTATTTCAAAGAGCCAGGGTGAATCCCCTCATTGTGTCCTTTAACATTCTATGATCATTCTATGAGTTTTAACAAAACCAGACAATAATGCAGCCTTTTTCAACTTCAGAAGTTCCAGTGTAATTTTCACAATGGTTAATATATCCACACTTCAAATAATGAATGAAAATATTTGTTCTAAAATGTGCCGACTGTACTTTTTCGGCAATGGTTGTAAATAGCATCCTGTCAGCAGATGAGCAAATCTCAATACAGAGCAATCAAAAACCCTAAATTATAATGGCCCTCCATCCAATCTGCAATATCCATGCATATATTTATTAATTAATATAACAGGAATTAATGGAGGCAATAAAGTCACACCCACTGGCTGAAAGTCCAGCAATAACCTACATCACCTCTTTTAGGAAAGTGCCATCCAAGCATTTAACTGGACAGTAGTGATCCCATCATAGAAACAAAAGTCCCATGTGTAGAAAATCTGCCTGCCGAGAGCTGCCAGCAGCTTTACTGAGTGGTAGTACCACTGGAGAGGCAGTGATTACTGCCAGTAAAACATCTACCTGGGGACTGATAGCATTACTGGATCCCAGGTCACGGATGAATGATGATAGGAAGGAATTTACAGATGGTGCAGGATTACAAGGCAGGTGGGAGTGGTGTTGGCAGCAAGGGAGGACTTTGACTGTCAGCAAGTCCCCTCCTTCCTGATGTTCAATCCCTAGGTCAGGCACTGTGTGTTTGAACAAAGGAACTCCTGCCAGGAGCCGATAAGTAACTCAATAATTGGCTTGTCATGTTCCCTGAATGGTAAAACTCCTTACCCACTGCTGGAGTCATACAGCAGTCATGAAATCAGGCCCTTAAGTGGGCACGCCAACACATATTATCTTGCTATGACTCACAAAACCTCTCTAAGCAACTTGTAGTTACATAGTTATAAAGTATTTGAAACAATGCCTGAAATATTTCTGTTACTTCAGCTTAGTCTAGTATTCAGGTAAATATTACGACATTGCTAGAAGGCATTTGGGAGAGTTTGACTTAGTTAATATATCATTTTTTTTTAACATAGTCCAATGCTACTTTTCTTCTAAACTTTTGTTTTGGTGTAATTTATGTTTACCAAGGTATGGAAATCAATGGAATAATTTCAGAGCATTTGTTGGCATCAAGCGCTTACACATCAAGTATAGCCTCAACTTGGCCAGAACCTCACAAACATTCCACATAATGTCAAGTTAACAGGGTTGAATTTTCAGCCAATTTGTGCTTATAAAGCAGCAAATCAATATGGTATGGATTCATGTCAAGGTCCCAGGGACAGAAGTAATGTTTTAAAGCACTGAATATGAAGTATGAAATAGGAGTGGAAATAGGCCATTTGGCCCTTCAAGCTTGCTCAACCACTCAATAAAATAGCAAATGAGACAACAATCCTCACTTTTCTTCCTCATTCCCACAGTTTACATTATGGATCAATGCAGAAGCCTTTATAGGAAAATTATTTTGACACTCAATTCATGATTTAAAAAAATTTAAATATTAAATATACTATTTTTGAGATACTTGTTTTCATTTTCAGCACTTATTTTCTAATATAATGCATACATTTTAGATTTTCTTTATAATATTAAATTATTGGTATCAATAGTAGTAATAAATACTAAGTAATAAATAGTAGTAATCAATACTAGTAATAAAAATCTTTTGATTTCTTTAGATATACCTGTGTAGTACTTTGCTGTATGCTGTGTCTACTGGACAAGTGCTGCGAAATTTAAAAAAAACATAATTAATAAAATGCATTATAATGTAACAATTTCAGATTCTAATCTTATTAAACGTAACTCTTGAAATTTTGGCTGAATCCTGTAACATTATTGGACTTATCCAAACTGCTGAGCCAGAATCAGATATTTTATATTATTAAAAACTGTGGCACGAGAGGTTATAAAATTTTAGAGTTTGAATTTCACAATAGTCTTACAGAAAAGAAAAGCATTATTGAGATAAAGAAGTTATTTGTTTTGTATATCATTGATTTGAGTGCAGTTGAGGTCAATAGGAATAAACGGAACAAATGCCTTTTCTAAATAGATGTAAAGATATACTGTTTAAATGGAGAAGACCTCTCCTTCCACAATAATGCATATTTTCGCTAATCTTGACTTTGAGTTTAACTCCAGCTAAGTTTTGTTCCTTCTAACCTCAGAATGAGGTATGAGCATTGGGGATACTTTTCCTTTCAAGTTTTAAATCTTTCCCACACATACACAAATCTATAATGCGGATCAGATCTTGCAACACCAATTGAAGTTATGTAATATTTACACCAATGTAACAAGACATCAAAAGAATCCTTTTGGTAAGATCTTGCATATGCATACTTAGTATAAACTAAGTCTTTGACATTCTGCAGAAACGTTTCTTAATGCCAAATGTCTGTAGCTGATCCTCCTTAATGTGTGGAGCAGTTCAATATATTAAAAACACAGTCTATTGGCTTTTAATAATGACCACAACAAATGGCTGACCCAACATCTACTGTTAATGGAGATAGCAAAGTCCCCTTTTAATCATTTTCAGTGCTTCTTAAAGCATCAACACCTGCATTCATGTCACATTATTGCCTCGAATGCAAAATCACTATATCATAGTTAGGATTATAAAATCACTATATCTCCTCTGCCTCAGGGGAGGCTATTTCCAGAGTAAACCTTTGGAAGATGTCTGTGGCAACGCCGGATAAAAGCAGAGAGCTCACAACTGTTTTGTATAATTTCAGTTGACCTTTCAAGCTGGGCTTTTACACTTGCTTGTCACAGGAGATGAATATTAAAGTGCTTGAGTGTTAATAAGTCTTCTTGAACAAGATCTTCCAGCTTCTTCATAGTGATGATGCAGTATTTTATTTATTCAATTACCAACTTTGATGGCTCTCTGTTTAAAGATTGACTGTCACAAGTCAGGGCTTTTATATACATGTGATTTTACTACATTGCACAGGTAGATTAGATCTCTAAACACATCACCATACTTCCACTTCCTCATGATGCACATGGAGCATGGGTAAATGTCGCTTGATCACTTGTGACAACAGCACTCAATGGGCAATTTCATCCAAATATATTCTGTTAGATTGGTTTACTTGAATCATTCTTCAAACTAACTTTAGGTAGAGTAATTGCAGGAGTGAAGGAGAGTTGGACATCTAATTGGAAGGTTTAAAATAAAGAGTTATGGGAGAGATCTCTGCTAACATCTAATGTTTGAATCCAGATCAGTCTTGTGTCATATCAGATACAAAAAAAACAAATCTCTGGCAAATTTTAAAGAGAAGTCCAATCAAAATTCAAGTGAACACAATAAGGGCTTATTAAATAACAGCCAAAGCTAACACTAATAACAGAGCAAAGTTATACGTAAAAATCGTACAACATACCTGAAGAAGTTTGAAAAATGGTTCATTAACTTATGAGAAACAAATGCAAAATCAAAACCAGAGGTGATGCATGGTGCTGCACCAGCTGTAAATGTTGGGACAATGGGTGCAATGAGCTAGACAGGCCTATGAGATCCTCGTTACACCACAATTTTAGCTGATGTGAAGCCCCTGCAGAACTTCTTGAATTTGTAACTGCACGGTCCCTTCAAAGCCTCACGCACTTCTGACTCGGAAGGAGGTCACATGGGGCTCAGCCACACTTGCTTCAGTCTTGGCAAAACCTGGTTTATGTTGCATATGTTGCTGAAATAGCAACTTACGCAAGGTGAGGAAGAACTGAGCAACATACGCAGGACTTGCCCTGACCTAACAAAGGTCAACAGACATAGAAACAATCATATGTCAAGAAGTTCACATTACCCCCAAGGCCCAACAATAATTGCTATATCAATAACTCTCATATCAACCATATAAAGTTTCAATGAAGTACCAACATCTTAAAAGCCTCTAAATAAAGTCAAAAGAAGGACTGTGGATGCTATAAATCAGAAACAAAAACAGAAATTGCTGGTAAAGCGCAGCAGGTCTGGCAGCATCTATGGACAGAAATCAGAGATAACATTTCAGGTTGAACGACCCTTCCTCAGTTCCTGAGTTCTAAGGAAGGGTCACTTGACCCAAAACATTAACTCTGATTTCTCTCCACTGATACTTCCAGACCTGCTGAGCTTTTCCAGCAATTTTTGTTTTTGCTCCTTAAAAACCCCTGTCTGGTTTCAAAAGTCTCAATATGACCATTCAACACACACAAATAAAAAAAACCCAAAACTATTTATCTGTTGCATTATAAAACTTGTACTGAATAACTTCACAATTAATAGTACCATTGAACATTGGTAGAAAGGCTAGAGTTTGCCATGAACAACCTGAATTTTGCAAGTCTGCTCTCATTAGACATCCAATTTAAATTTTTGCTGTCAATTAAGTTTTCAGGAGCCATTTGCTTTGCTTTACTTTCTACCTTGCCTCAAAATTGCCATCAAAGGATTTCCATCTCAGTTTGTTATAGGAAGAGAAGGAGAGCCAATGGAGTGATGCCAAGCCACTCAGTGTGGACCAGAAGTAATCTGTGCTCTTTCATTGGTACTCAACACACTTGCATTTACAGTTCTTGAGCAGCTTGTGACAGCAGATCTGATAGGCCTATATCAAAATCAGTGCTAACAGATATGTTGATAACTCTTTGCAACCATCCTAACAAGCATCTGTTCTCCTTTCATTACAGCATGAAAGAAAGAGGGTACAATAATTATTAGACAGCAATGCCTGTTTAGCTACACCTATCAAATAGTGCAAGCACATTTGGAAACATTGTCATAGTTATCTCAAAACAAACAATCCTGTCTCACAGCATCCAAGTCAGTACAGGTTTCAGTGCAGATCATGTACCATCAGGGTTTCGAAGCCTGGTACGCTACAAATCAGCTGTTGCTTTAATGCTGCAACCACCTCCTCACAGGTTGTGATACTAATTATGGATGGAGTGAATCAACAAAAAAGCCTTTTCTCTCTTGCAACTTCTCATGTAACATCATTTGACTTTGAAAAGACACCTGAAAGTGATTTATGTAAAGCAGTGCTCAGACACATGGTTGCAGAATTACACCTGCACACCAGATTTCCTTTGCCATAAATTTTTGCCGTTCACTAATTTGTCTTTTTCCCTTTCACCAGTGGCTGCTATGGATTGGGTTAATTTTTCAAAAAGCTACAAGAATTTATATAACCTATCTGTACAATTCTTTTTCAATTGTCTGATCATGTTTAAATTTTACCGGTCCCTTATTAAATTATACAAACGGATTGTTGCTAGACAACAGAGTGCTATTTGCACATTCTCTTTCTAGTAAGGCATGCTTCAATTTTTGATCAAGTATTGCTGTCTTGTACCAGAATGCAAAAACTAACACTGATATGATAAAGACTGTATCTCCCCAATCTAACAGTCTCTAGACCAGAGCACAGAATTTGCCGGATCACAGGAGGTCATGCATCAGGGTCAGCACAGGGGTTTCCCACGAACCTGATGAGAAAGGTGTTCTGCAAATCAAACCTATAGGCTGTTACAAATGTATAAATAACCAACTGAATCACTAAGATGGTTAGTTTGCCTAACTTTGACTTTCTAAAAGAAACTGGCAATAGGTTTAATATCTCACCCGCAGGTTCATCCAATTCACTGATTACGTAAGTAAATGCTGGACTTCTTAAAAAAAGATATCAAAACAATTTTACAAGTTCAGCTTTCATATAATGTGCATTATATCATATTAAATTTAGATAGGAGTCTACAATTATGAATCGATTTGTAAAAGGATTCCTTCGATCAGAAACGTTTGAAACCACTGAGTAGGTTTTAGTCAGGCTGAATCAATTTCAATAAACTTGCTACAATTGCTGGTGCTTTGTCAATGAGAATATCTTCAATGAATGTGTCACTGTTTTGATTGAAGTCCATTAAAAATTAGTGTAAAACTGGACACTAATTATGGAAGATATTTTCAGAATATTAAGCACTTTAATAGATAGAGAAAATTTGGTTTTGACAGTTCTAAACTTCAACATGAGCAAGTTAAGACACAGGTTATTACCGCCTCATTCATGCAACAGTCCCACAAAAAAGTAACATCTTTGCAGGTTCAAACTGAATTTTAGCAATGACACAGTTTATTTTGAGGAGATGCCCTAGGCACAGATATTCACAATGCCATTCTTATTTGCTTTACTTCACTAGCCTGATTCTGATATTAAACCTCTCCGGTTAACTCTGAACAAATAGATTTTCGTTGTAAAGTCTGCATTGCCAAAAAAAACCTGAAAATATAAAACAGATCAGTGACTTTACGTTGGCAGATTGAATTCAATAGGGTCCTTTGGGATGCTGTATCCTCATCCACATTCCATATGCACAGTTAAAGTTCTATCCAGCTCAAATCAATCCACTTGGATCCATTAAAGCTGTACTTCTGACATTGAGCAGTTTGGGACTGCAAACTGTGCTTGCTATCAACAGCTGTAATTTATTGCTAAGAGCAGATTCCTCACAATAGATATCCATCAATCTCCATAACAACCTACATCCCGATAATGACCAAGATTCATTCATCTCACATCATGGTATAGTGGGATCCACACTGTGCTTTTGTAACAAACAAGCTCAGAAGTAAGTCTCCATGATATACAATGTTTTAAATATTTGCTGCCATGCTTGACTGTATAGAATTTCCTGGACAGTAAAATGATTTGCCATTTACTTTATTAGG